CCCTGGTGTGTCAGGTCTGATTCTCCACCATCATGCCTCCTGTTTCTTTAAATTCTTATTTTATTATTATCCCCTTATGTACTTAAAAAAAAATCTCCTAATGGTCTCTCTATTTTTAACCCAAAATGTCAGTCTTTCCCTTTTGCTTAAAACATTACTGTTACATTGAGATGTAGTAATTTATTTGATTACATATTCTTTACTTTCTAGTTATACTTATTCACCTTTCTTTTGATTCTATTGTCTGGGATTGTTTAAAGTTGAATTATCAGTCAAATCATTCAGCTAGCATTTTCAAATCACTTAGATGTGTTCCAACTGTGAAGGACTAGTGCTACAAAGATACTTAAAAAATAATCCCTGTTCTCAAGAGGCTCACAGTCCAGTGTACTTGTCTGGCAGAATAATCCTCTCATGCTTGTTGTTGTTGTTGCTGTTTACTTGCAGGGATGCTTTAAATGCTTCTTTATTGTTGAACCTGTTTTCATTGATGCTTGGATTCAAGTTTGTTGAATATATCATTTCAGGTGGCATCTTGAGGCTCCTTTGCTTTTTGCAATAGATTCTTCCATTATCTTCTTTAGTTTCTCTTTCATGCAGAGTATTCTTATGTTGGGGCAGCTAGATGTGGCATGGATAGTATAGTATGCCAGGCCTGGAGTCAGGAAGACTCATCTGCATGAGTTTAAATCTGGCCTGACACTTACTAGCTATGTGACCCTGGGCAAGTCACTTAATCCTGTTTGCCTCATTTCGTTATTTGTAAAATAAGCTAGAGAAGGAAATGACAAACCACTCCAATATCTCTGCCAAGAAAACTCCAAATAGTTTCATAAGGAGTTGGACATGACTGAAACAAGTGAACAACAAGAACAACATTCTTGTGTAAGACTCTCTTTCTTTTATATTTGAAGTGTTTTCTTCTAGATATTTGTAGCATTCTTTTTTTTTCTTTTTGGTTGTTAGAAATATGAAAGGTAACTGCTTTGAAGCATGTTTTTTTTTTCTTGGTGCTATCTTGTAGTTTATTTTGATTACTGCTTTGTTCCCTGTATTCAGAAGCTCTGGATAGTTTTCATGTATCATTTCCTAAATTATGGTATTTAAATTTTTACTAATTTTTTTCAAGTTCTTCTAGGAGATTTAGGATCCTTAAGTTGTTTGTGTCCAACCTTTCTTTGATATCAATGGCTTTTTTCTGTTTAGTAATCCTTCTGTGTTATTGCCTTTTACATCTCTTTTTCTAGATTTTCCTTATTGCAGTATATTTGTGTTCCAAATCCATTGTTCTCTCCACTTGCCACCATGGTTCAAGTTTTTCTCTTCTAGATATTTGTTCCCTTCCAACTCTTCTCAAAGTTTCAGTTTTTTAAACTCTTCCAGAATGCATTTCCATGCTCTTTTGCATGCTGTATTACATCAGGAATTGTTTTACATGTCTTTGTTTCATAATATTTATTTAGAAACATTTGTAATATTTTAACATTTCATTCTGTTAAGGCACAATGCATGTAGTTGATGTAAAAATATTTTACTGGTCAGGGAAGCTGGGGACAATCAGGTTGTGTATGAGGAGGGGAAGAAGCTGTATCAGGGAACGCAGGGAAGCTGCCTCAGTAAAATATTGCTCCTATTTCAGTTGGACTTACACAGAGTTGTTGTTGGGGTCAAATAAAATGTATGTGTGTGTGTGTGTGTGTTTGTGTGTGTGTATGTGTGTGTGTATACACATATATGTATGTATAAATATATATATAAACATATGTATATATGTGTAGCTGTGTGGATAGATAGACAGACAGACAGACAGACAGATAGACAGATGCATGTATACATGAGGAATTTTATAAACTTTTAGAAACCCTTTAGAAATGACAGCTATTATTATTTTCTTGTTGCAGTTTTAATTACTGCAGAGTTGTCATACTTATTGCTTGGATGTTGTGGAATGAGAGAATTAGGTTGAAAATAAGAACAATATCATATTACACATACTATTTTGGCTTTTTGAGTTCTGGTTTCTCCATTGGAGAGTGTATGGGGAAGGATATTAAGATTTCCCAATTTATCTCGTAAAATGTCTATTTGACTCTTTATCTTGTCCTCTATTTTATTAGGCCTACCAACCAACCACTCTCAGAATTCCAGTGACCATTCCATAATCTTTTCTCTGATTATAGTTATTATATAATTATCTTTTGTAGTTTTGTGCTAGAATTCTTTTACTCTACAGTATTTATTGCTTTAGGCATTTCTACTTGATTATTTCCTTACTTTCTCTACTGATTTCTATACACACTCCCTCCCCTTCAACTAATTTTTACAGATTTGTGTGTCATCCTTTCACAGGGAACATGCTATTTTTCTCTGGGTGTTTTCTAGTTTTAGTATGTATTGAGTTGAATGTAGCAAGCCTCTTAATAGCATTTTTGAACACTCACTAACTAAATCACAAGATATTAATGATTACATAGGATGTGGAAGGGGTTTTTAATTCATCTTTAATGTTTTAAAAATATTAAGTACATCGCTATTTTATTTTGGAATATAACTTACTTTGTATTTCACTGAATATTGATTCCCCACCGTAGTCTTATTTTATTCATTGTTGGTACAGGAAAGAGAAATAATAACTATTATGATTACTGTCTTTGTACTTCTGGCTTACGTTAATTTTTAATATCCTTTGATGTGAATTTAAATATATATATATATATATATATATATATATATATCTGACTTATGTACTTTTTCTTAAAGCAGGAAAAGTGTGTAAAAGTTTTAAGTTTGTTTAGTCATTCTTTATAATTTTCTATATATTATCTGAAAAAGAAATGAAAAACATGCTAAAAAGGAGTATGTTTTACAGTATTGCTTTCAGACACTAATGATATGTTTTTCTTGAGAATCTATATCATGTTTTTGTACAATTCAGGTTAATAAAATATCAATCTATAATAGTGATTTTTAATCTTAAAAACTTATGTCCAATGAGGATATTGGTGATTTAAAAATATTTTTAACATAACTAAAATGAAGTCACTGAACTATTTTAGGCATCCCACTTTGGTATTATAGTTATCATTTTTTATTTATAAATATTACTGGGGTTGTTTTTAGAAATCTGTAATGGTTACATCTGAAATCATTCTTACAAAAAAACCTCATCAATAATAAATATTAGTTCTTATTAATCCTTATTTTAGTTTAACTTAGGCTCATAGCAAGTTACTTCCTCAGGGAATGCTATATTCTTTTCAAGGAAAGGTGATGAGACACAGTCCCTTGAGGATTAAATTGTGAAAACAATCTTGGTTTTATACATGCTAATATAGAACTGTTATTCCCTTTCCACTTCTATCACAACACATTTTAACTTGTGCCTGATCTTTTATGCAGATAGCTGTTTTATTAGACATTGTGGCTATATGTGCTAATGTCTCCATGGGTTTCTTGGTAGTTTGCTATCCAACCATCAAAGCAGTCTAAATGAATGCTGATTACCACATAGCTTTGAAGAACAAAGAAAAGTCACTACATTTTAGATATCTGATGCACCGACAGTTTGAACTACACAGATAAACAGGGGAATTTCTGTGGCTCATTTTAAATAGCCTTTAGTGATTTTTTTTTCATAAAAAGAGAATAACTTTGCCTATGCCTGATTTAGTCCCCGTAGTAAAAATTAAAAAATTTTCACTATTAACAAATTTTGCAGTGACAGTAATGATAACAGTAATAGTATTTATTTATCACATTTTGTGTCCCTATTTTGTTTGCTCTTCAAATTATACTTTGGATTTTGGTTTTGAAAGTGATACATAAACTTATTTACATAGGGATATAGAAAATTGAGAAAAAAGTAATTTTTTTTAAAAAACTTTATAAAAATTAAAGAAATAATTGTTTACTGTGTTCTTTGTTAGTCTGATGACTTTTATTTTCAGTTATCACCTTAGTATATATTTATATACTATTATTATGTTTGAAATAGATTTGAAAGATGAAGTATCCTTAAAACTTTTAAAAAGCAAAAACAAGTATATATTAAGAAAACAAGTCCTGGAATGGAGGGTAGACCTCAGTTGTCAAGGTTATACCAGTGGAATACAAGCTTTGATATGCCTTATGAAATTGCAGAGGCTTCAGAGGCAACCATATGACAGACTGCATCTGTCATCCAAGGACCAGACTACTTAGGTCCAGCCAAAATTGTCACCAGAAGATTGGTTGTCAGGATTTTTCTTTTCTTTCTTTTCTTTTTTGCCATCGCAGCTCACAAAGACTGTCCACTAAAACATGGAGAAGTTATACTTACACCAATGAAATCAAAGACCTTTTAAAGTGTTTGTAATAATAATGACAGTTAACATTTATAAAGTTTTTTAAAGTTACAAAGCCCTTCACATATATTATCATATTAGAGTATCACAGCAATGCTAGGCAGGTGTGATTATTATATGCATTTTACAGATGAGGAAACTGAGGCGAAGAGAGGGTAAGTGATTTTCTAAGTAATTAACTGAGATCTATCAGATCCAATGTCCTAGAGGCCCTCACCCACATCTCTGTCTCCCACTTAAGGTACAGCAGTGTACTACACAACTGTCGATTTGGTGGCAAAAAGTCAAAATAATTTTGAGGTATTGTGGCAGATAGGTGGCACAATGGCTAGAGCACTGGGCCTGGAGTCAGGAAGACCTGAGTTCAAATCAGGCCTCCAGATACTTAGTAGATATATGACCCTGGGCAACTCACTTAACCCTGTTTGCTTCAGTTCCCTCATCTATAAAATGAGCTAGAGAAGGAAATGGCAAACCACACTAGTATCTTGGCCAAGGAAATTCCACATGGGATCATAAAGTCAGACAGGAACAAAATGACTGAAGAACAATAATAAATTGCTTACAAAGACATCCCATAGACTTTATTTCTTTTCATATGTGATTTATTTTTATTTTTCTAAATATTTTGTGATGTATTTTCTTTCTTTTGAATAGGTATTTTAGAGACCCAAGATGGGCAGAAAGGATGCTTCCACTTTAAAACTTCCTGTTGATCAATATAGAAAGCAAATTGGTAAGTAACATAATCTTTGATTCTTGAGTAAATGTAGGAACACATCAATTGGTACTTTCTTGCCCAATAACTAAAAAACTCACTTCCCTTTCTCTTATTCATTATGACTTAGATTTTCCAAGGTGAAAGCCCTCTTCCCTGGCTACCTTCCTCCAATCTCTTGTCTGCATCCATACCAACCAACCTGTTCAAAAATTTTTTATGACTGGAATCTGTTCCGTTATGTCCTCTCAAATAATGTTACCAAATTTGCCTTCATCTTGGACTCTTCCTTCTAATACTCTTTCTATGACTTGTTTCAGAATAAATGCATCCTTAGCCACCTTCTCCACTACTGGATGTACCTTCTTTGATGTCCCAGAACCATTCAGCCAGGAGGAGGAGGAGGCATACACCTTGCTTCATACATTTCCTCTGCTACCATCACTCAGTTGCCTCTTCCTTTGAAGCCACTTACTTCTGTCACCCAGTTTACATTCTCTTAGTAGTCATCTCCTATTTCCGAGGTCACTCACTTTTCTTTCTTAAGAAATTTAGGACCCTGTCTCCATCTTTTCTCTTTTTAAACATGCTCTAAATACTTCTATCTTATATATACTTTCCACTTAGGAGCAGAAGCTAGAACCTTGGGAAACATCTACATTAAAATGGAAGGAGGAGGGTGATAAACTTAGAAGATAGCTTAGAAGAGGAAGAAGAGCCAGTGAAGAATACACTGGAGGAGGTAGAGCAGTCAGAAGAGAGCCTAGAGAAAAGAGAATATCAAAGAGAAGAGGACGCTTGACAGTGTTGAAGGCTTCAGAGATTTCCAGAAAGAGAATGCTTGAGAAAAGGCCATTAGATTTGACAATTTAGGGATCATTGTAATTTTGGAGAGAGCAGCTTCAGCTGAATGATGAGGCTGGAAACTGTTTGCAGAACATTCAGAAGAGAATGAGAAGAAAGAAAGTGGATGTATTGACTCAGGACAGTTATCACAAGTTTAGCCACAAAAAGGAGAGAAATATAGGCAAACATTAAAATGAACAAAATAGGGACATAAAATGTGATAATACTTAAGGATGAGGAGTACATGGGCATGTTTGTAGGCAGGAACGGATCATTCAGTAGAAAGGCAGAGAGACTGATGATTATCATGGAGATGATAGAGGAGACATTCTGCTGGAGAAGGGATAGAGTAGGAACACTTGTATATGTTGAAGAACACAAGGTCCAGTTTTGCTGGACTGTAGAGTTCAGCAAGAGAAATGATATATGATGACATTTGAAAGATAGGTTAGAGCCCTGCTATGAAGGACAATAAATGCCAAATTGAGGAGTTTCTATTTTATCCTAGAAGAACACAGAAATACTGGAGTCTATTGAAAATAAAGTGACTTAGCCAGATCTATGCTTAAAGAAAATCATTTTGACAGATATATGTAAGAAGGGATTGGATTGGGGAGAGACTTGTGACAGGAAGACAGTTATAAGGCTCACAGTAGTCCAGGTGAGAGGTGTTTTGAGAGCCTAGCTTAAAGTGGTGGCTGCATTGAAAGGGATTGCATGGCAGGGGTGTGTAGGAGCCAGCTCGACAAGCTAGCAAGAGCCAATTGTTAAATTTTCAGTGTGAGTGCTTATATCTCATAAATCAGTGAATGTTATATATCAGGGCTTGATTTACTGTTTGGTTGATTCCAGAAGTGGGGAACCTGATAGAAAATGATGCAGAAAATGTTAATAATGTAGCTTAAAATTAAAAGTGTGCCATGCCCATTTTTTTAAAACATTCACCACCATATCACTGGATATGATAAACGTTATGTAGGAAGACATGGCAAGATTTGGTAAACAATTACATGTGCCAGGTAAGAGAGAATGAAGAATCAAGAATAACTCTGAGGTTACCATCCTTTGAGACTAGAATAATGAATGTGCTTTCAGTAAAACAGAAATTCAGAATAGGAAAGGGTTTAGGAAGAAAGATAATAACTTCTGTTTTGTGCCTTTTGAGTTTTATGTGGGATATCTGTAGGATATGTCTGTGAGATATCCTGCTTGAAATGACCATTAGATATTTTAGTGATATGGGACTGAAACTGAGCAAAGAGATTGAGGCTGAATATATAGAGATCTAGGAGTCATTATGTCTGGTTATAAGAGGTTAAGAGACTCACCCTCAATGAGATCATAGATCTATTGGAGTTTATCTTATATGCAATGTAATATGTATATCATCGTGTAGATATTATTTCACATAAATTTATAATTTTATATAAATTCATATAAAATTCACATAAATGTACTGAGAGTAATAAATGTATTGATTTCAACATTAATGATAAACTAGATAGGTGGGTTTTTTTCTAAGATCAAAAAAGAGGAAAAATTAACATAATTCATCAATATATTGAAATATTCTGAAAATATGTGCAGTGTACATTTGTGGACCTTCTTCCTATTCAAACGGGTGGGGTTGGGTCATCTCATATGGTTTTTTTTGTCATGCTTCTTTGTCATTTTGAAACACTGGTTTTTGTTATTTTTGTGGTTGCTCTTTCAATTTTTTGTAGTCATTACGTATTTTTCTTGGCTTTGCTTGCTTTATTATGCATCAGTTTATGTAGATTTTTTCTGTTTCTCTGTCTTCATCACATTCATCCTTTCTTGTAACAAAGTAATATTCTATTACATCTGTGTACCATATTTCATTTAGAGATTTCCTAATTACTGGGCATCTTTGCCATGAAAAAATATTACTGTGAATATTTTTGTGGATATGGAAATTTTCTTCTGATCAGTGGCCTCCTAAGAGTATAAGATTAGTATTAAAATTTCTGAGTCAGACAGTATGGACATTTTAGTTACTTTATTTGCATAATTTCAAATTGCTTCCCAAAATGCTTATACTAATTCACACCTCCACCAGAAATGTGCTGGTGTGTATAACATCCTATAATCCCTCCAACATAGACTATTCCAATTTTTTTTTTACCTTTGTCAACCTGCAGAGTGTTAGGTAAAACCTCAGTGTCGTTTTGATTAGAATTTCTCTTTGTATTAGTGATTAAGAACATTCTTTATATGGTTGTTAATAGTTTGAAATTCTTTTGAAAACTCTTTGTTCATATCCTTTGTTCATTTATATTTTGGAGACTGGCTTTTCGTCATTCATTCATACCTATATATATGCAGATATACACAGGTATGCATATATATTTAATTTGCTTATATAATGTTGGATATGCATATATACGTGTGATTATATATGTTTGTATATACATATTTGTGCATATATGCATACATATACACACATACATATATATGACACCAAACCCTTATCAAAGAAATTTGATGCAAAGATGTTTTTGCCATTTCACCACTTCCCTTTTTATCCTAGATATATCAATTATATTTGTGCAGAAGCTTTTTCAGTTTTATATAATCAAAGTTAACTCTTTTATCTTCTGTGATTGCCTCTCTCCTATTTTTGGTTAAAGAATACATTTACCTTTCAGATCTGTGAGAGATATACAATCTACTTCTCTTTCATTTTTTAATATGATTTTTTGACATTAAGGTCATGATATTTCATTGAGAAATATATGTGGAATATGGTCTAAGCTATTGGTTCATGCCTAATTTCTGAAAAAGAAATTCTTTCCAGTTTCCCCAAGACTTTATCAAAAAGAGAGTTCTTTCCTAAGTAATTTATATTTTCTGGTTTATTGAACTCTAGATTACTGAATTCCATTGTTTCTAATTCTTAATTTCTAGTCTATTCTACTCATCACCTCTCTATTTTTTAACCATTACCAGCTGGTTTTGATGACTGCTGCTTTATAATGTAGTTTGAGGTCAGGAAGTATTATTGCCCTTTGTTGCCACCTTTTTTCATTATTTTGCTGAATGTTAAAGATATTTTATTTGTCCAAGTGAAATTTGTTTTTACTTTATTGATTTATATAAAGTATTTCTTTGATAATTTGATCAATAGAATATGAAAACTGTTTTAATCAATAGAACATTTACACTACATTAACTTTGGTAGTGCGGTTATTGGTAGTATATTATTTATTACAATACTATTATATATCCCGTTAGGTTTATTACATCATATTATCAACAAATAGGTAAGTTTTATTGCCTGTTTACTCATATTTACATCTTTAATTTCTTTATCATATATTATAACTATTACTAGGATTTGCAAGACTGTATCAAATAACAGTGGGGAGAATGAGTTTCTTTGCTTTACTCATATTTATTGGGAAACTTTCTAGTGTATTGTCATTGCACATAATGTTTGCTTTTGGTTTTATATTTTATTTATATATATACATATATATACATATAATTTTTATGATATTGAAAAAGGTCCCTCTGTATCAAACTTTGTAGTATTTTTAACATAAATGAGTTTCGTACTTTAGGAAAGGCTTTTTCTCATATATTGAGATAATGTGGTTTTGGATGATTTTGTTTTTAATATTAATTATGTTGATGACTTTCCTAATGTGGGACTATCTTTGCATCCTACTGGGTCATATGGAATAATTTCTTGGATAAATTGCTGTAGTAAATTTGACAGAATTTTATTTCAAGTCTTTGACTCAATATTCATTAATGATATTAGTCTATATTTCTCCTGTCCTTTAACCTTCCCTGGTTTAGATATTAGAATTCTGTTTCATAAAATGAATCTACTTTGGATGTTTCTCATTTTTTGAGAATAATTTGCATAATACTAATGTTAATTATTCTTTAAAAGTTTGATAGAATTCTATGAATCTATCATGGAGAAAAATCTTCTTTTTCTTTAGTAGTTCCTTTATAGCTAGTTCTGTTTCTTTTTCAGAAGTTGGATTATTTAAGATCTCCATTTGATCTTTTAGTTTAGGTATTTTCCATTTTTGAGGTAGTCCTTTTTATATTTTACTAGCATATAATTGTACATATGAGTTGCAGATAATTAGTTTTTCTTCTGCTTTTATTTTGATTTCACCTGGTCCATTTGCTAA